TCGCTAAAAATGTTTGATAATAACTTGGAAGCTTTTTCAGGAAAGTTATGTTCATAATCTCCAATTACAGATTTCAAATGTAGGTACATTTTCTTGCTCAACACTATTTAATTTCAGCTGCAATTGATGTAATTTATCATTCAAACTATGGATACATAAAAATTTAATTTGAAATGTATAATTAATTCACGGTTTAAGATAGACAGGTTGCGCATCGACGTATGTTAAGCTTACTGACCAAGTGACTATGCAATGTACTAACATAAACTGACTGACAGTAAGTGCCATCTAGCGTTGACGCCTATAAGTTTTACTAAATCGTGCTAAAACAGTAATTTTATTTTGCAATGATTTTAATTATGACTATTGTTAACTTATTTTTAATCTCTCTAGGTATCTCAAACCTCAATATTATTCACTGAGTGTCTCTTCCACTTTAGGTATTTACACATTGTCAACCATTTACTATTCTACGAACTACAATATTAACGTTGTTTAATTTTATTAAATACTAACTAGGTACATATTTACAACACATTTTCATAGGAAATCTTTTTTAAAATAAATCAACCAAATATATTCGTTATATATTATATTATTTTAATTAGATACTTAAATAGTAAATTACAACCAACACAAAAAGAATAAACATGACATATGCAATTTAAATTAGTTGGATAAGTAAATGATTAAGAATTTATAATAATAATAATACTTGTGAAATACTGAAATCTTAAAAATATATTTAATTAATTAATCCTCTAATATGAAGAATTAATAATACCAATCTAAAAGTTAAACTTCTAATTTACAAAACCCTCCTGAAACCTATTTGGACTTATGGCATACAGCTCTGGGGTTCAGCAAAAAAATCCAATATCAATAAAATACAAGTATTCCAAAACCTAGCTCTTCGACGACTCTCCAATGCACCACTGTACGTCTCAAACCCAACATTACATAATGATTTTCAAATGAAAACCATCAACGAAGAAGCCAAATTCTTTTACTCGCGCTTCCGTAAGCGACTCCTATCCCACCAAAATCCTCTTATTAAAAACCTCTCCTCTCTAACTCTCTCAGGAAATCCAAGGCACAGGCTAAAAAGGAAATGGTGTCGTGGCCTCCTACAACTCCCAATTTAAAATATACAATATACATATTATATGTATATAATATTCAATTCAAATCATCAACCAATCACCAAATATAATATAATATACACTGTGTTAAATATTAAATCTACAACTCAATCATTTAATAGGTACTGTTTAAATTAATGTCATTCAACATTCAACTAGTCATTAGGACTGTTTAATCTAAATAATAATCAACTAATCAAGGTTTATTTGATAATTAAAAATTAAAAAGTGATTTTGTGAAATAAAAAAACCTTGGAGCTTATTCCGTCCAGAAAGGAATTATTATTAAAACAATAATATACTATAGAATATAGATTATGAATATTACCGCTAGATCGCGTTATGTGCCAGTAAGTTTTTGTAAGCGCTTTCTCATGCCACTTTTTTTCGTTCGACGCGCAACCAGTCTATCTTAAACCGTGAATTAATTAATGATTATAATCATATATATTTGTTATTAATTATTATAAGCCTTTTTATCTCTACAGATTGGTTTACTTCATCTAAGTTTGAAATTCCATCAATATATGAAGACTGTTCCATGTAATACAACATATGAAACAAGATTTCAATTTTGTATCAAGGCAATTGAAAATGGTAATAATTTTTACGTTGTTATTAAATAGTTTCTTTCTGCTAGAAAAAAGTTTATTTGTGTCCACTCTCCAACCTTTGATAGGTGAAATCATCATTGGACTTTTAGATGGTGTCATTTTCAATTTATGTTTCGGAATAACTTTTAATGTATTTCCCGGCCTATTTTTTGGAGTTATTTTTCTGGGACTTATTGCTTTAAACAAGGTTTTTTTAACACCAGATTGAGACTATATAATGAAAAATAAAAATGGCTATTAGCTAGAGTATGACATTAATTATATACATTCATTTTAATTACAGGTAAACAGATTGATGGAACTGCATCACATTTTTGTAATGTTTTGGAGACCAGTCAAGGAGTTTTTTATTGGCGATTTTTCAATATAATTTGATGGTTCAAAATGTTTTGAACACACTCGTGCTACGTAAAGTTTTATAAAACATAAATTGTATTTTGTTATAATGTAATATGTCTGAATATTATAATATGTACCTGTACTTATATTTATGGCTTTCATATAGCTTGATTTTTCACATGCTTGATCCCATTTTTTTAAAAATATTTAATTTTTTGGAAATGAAAATTTTTAACTGAATCTATAACAGTTACATTTTATTTATGTTAAATTTAAAATAAAAACAGGATATATTTGGTTAATTCTGTTTTGGAGTTAAAAAATGACAAAGTACTAATTAATATTCATGTTTCTCATACTTTAATTTATTTTTATATAGTTGTACTAAAAAAAAATAATTTACATTTCTATACATATGAATCTGAAACTGTTTTAGTTTAATATCAAACATTTAGATTTATACAAAAAATATAAGTCCTTAATTATAGTACCTAGTATTTATAAACAGTTCAAATTTGTCTATAAAAGTGTAAAACAAGAACACTAAGTAGCTATATTTAAAATTGGATTTTGCATATTTATTTTATTATGATATGAATGACCAAGAGGTGTATAGTATAAATTAATAAAAAATATAAAACATTTTTTCAATTCAATTAAATTTGGTTTGTACAAATAAAAACTTATTTGGAAAATTGTCGATACAAAAATAATATTACTGTATTTAAAATAATAAACATAAAATACATTTTTTTTGAACATATTTGAATTGAATAATTGCATACATATTTAGATATTTTTAAAACTAAAAATTCTTCGTCTTAATTTATTACATTAATTCAATTACTCTCTGTTAATATTATTGTTGATCAAAATTTGTCTATCTACATCCTAATGTATTATAAATCAATGTAATTATATATAACTTTACCATTTGATTTTGCCCTGCAATTATGAACTGCACATGCAGGCATTATTTTAAATATATGTATATAGATTTCTAAAACCACTAGACATTAAGCAATTAAAAGTAAGTGAGGATTCTAGAGTAGGTACATAAGGAATGAATAAATTACACCAGTTTTGTGAATTTAGAATATTTTTCTTTTTCTTTGACATGTACAGACAGGTTAATACACAGCAAAACATAACATTTTAATGTATACAACAAAACAACAGACATACAATTATTGATATATACAATAAGATAAGAAGTATAAAATGTAAAATAAGCTTAATTATATAATAGCAAATATAAAAATATTTATATAATTATTTTACTATGGTTGCGCGGTGCCTCGATGTTCATAAACGCGGGAACGGCAGTGCAATTGCAATCGGTAAAGATCGTCAAAAACCGAAGTCCCCCGATTGCACAAAAAGACAAGGCAATGCACATGCCATAGGACGACAACACGTATGGTGTCGAGCATACTTTGTATTTATGTCAGCGGTCAATACAATAATCATGGCCGATGGGGTTATCGATAAACTGAGAATCCAAAAAATTAGAAAACTCGATTTTGTATTATAACTATTTTTTTTGTTTATCGTATTAAACACGAGATTGGTGCTAGTATGAATTTATAATAAATGCTATTAGGTACTATACAATTTGTGTTAATTCTTATTTCGCTTTGATCTACACTAACCTCAATGGGTAACAATTTAGGGGATATTTAAAATGGATATTATTTACATATAATTGGGTGTATTATTATATATTTCATCCCCCCTAGTAAAATATAATACCTTTGTATAAGAAAAACAATTCTGAGCGAAGACGGTCAGTCAGCCCATGATATTAATAAGTACCTATATTTTATGATATTATTGTGAATAAAGTAATTTATATACAACCCATTTACGTGGAACCTAGTTTCAAATTTCAATCATTAGCTATAAAAGTTCAAAATTTTATAAATTTTTAACAACAAAATAATTATTAAATTTTTAATTTGATAATTCGTCAAATTTGAACTTGAAATGCTTATAAAATTTTTTTTGACAAAACGATTTTGGTTTTTGGGATAACTCTAAAACAAATGACCGTATACATGATATTTTCATTGGTTGATTATATAAAAATTTTCTATACACGATAAAATTTTCAGATTATTTTGATTTGTTTTGAACTGTTTACGAACATTTTAAGTTTCCAATTTTTTTAGTTTATTTTTTCTATTTGTCAATAAAATTTAATTTGTTGGGTAAATAAGCTTGAAAATGTAAAACAAGGTTCCATGTAAATAGGTTATATATAAATTACTTTATTCACAATAATATCATCAAATATACCTAGTAATATCATAACATGGCATTGCCGTGGGGGAGGGGATAGGGGTCATACGCCCCGGGTGCATGGTTTAAAGGGGCGAAAAAATTTTTTTTATACATTTTAAACTATACATAAATAAAATATATGAGGAAGATTATTGTTTTGCAATTATTTTGGACTATGACAAATTTTTTCTGAACAAACTTAAGACTATGGTCGAGTTATAACAACTAGTCAACCACAAGTTTTATTCTTGTATTATTTGGCTATAATAATTTATCGTATTCTTAATCTCAAAATCTATGTTTTTATCTAAATTTTTGGCAAAAAACACTTAGACACAGAATGTCCGTCAGAAATACCGTCGGGACCCCTGGAAAAGTTGTTTTTTAAGGAGTAGAGGGCATCTAGAACATCATCAGGAGTGAAATAAAATTTGGAAGGAAGGTTATAGGTTTAAATATTATCTTGGGAGTAATCTGAGAAAGAAGATTGTGCGGTGTGAAACACAGATGAAAAATATTTAGAAAATAGATTGGCAGAATCAGTTGGAGAGTCTGCTGTCTCATTATCCAATCTTAATGTACAAGGAATAGTATTATTTTGATTTAACTCTTTGGTAAATTTCTAAAAGGCAGATAGATTGTGCAAAAGCATTTTTTCTGAGCTACTAATGTATGATTGGTAGTCAATTTTAGACAAACGTTTACATTTTCTGAGCTCTGAGAAAGCGGAATAGTTAGCTGGAGAATTGGAGCGTTTATAAGCAGCATGTGCACGTTTTTTATGTAATATGAGATTCAGGGAAAGTCCAGTTAGGGAATTTTGGAGAATGAAAGGTCTTATTAGGAACATACCACTGAATTGATTTAAACAGTGCTTCGTTGAAAATAGTCGCTGCACCATCAACTGAATACAGAGAAAAGGTGGCTTCCCAATTATAGTAACTAAGAAAACTTGATATGGCAAAGTAGTTGGCACCTTTAAAATCCTTATAAGTATGAGTATTGGAATATTTATTTTTAGCTTGGATGGGAACTCGTAAGTGCAGTGGAGAGTGGTAAGAGTCAGGTAAGTGTAAACTGTGACTTTATTGGAGTTTGAAAATATGAGGTCAAGAGTATTTCCTTGATTATTTGAAATTGAGTTTAGGTGGAAGAAGTTGTGGAATGAAAAAGAGTCGACGATAGCATGCGAAACAGGATTAAAATCTCCCGAAGCAGAAAGTCCTAACAAATCCGAAGACCAGTTAATATGAGGGATGTTAAAATCACCACAAAGGATAACTGAATGAGGTTTGAGGTTTGATAAGACGTTTTCGACAGAGGAGAGATGAGACTCAACTATTGTAAGAGGTGCTACAGGAGGTAGATATACACAGCCAACCAGAAAATTATTTGTGTTAATGGACATTAAGGATGTCCTACTTGCTCAACTTTCGAGACATTTAAAGGAACAGGATGAGATTTAAGTGAGGATTTTATAGCAATAAGAACACCACCACCAGGGGGAAAAGAGCTGTTATTAGGATTTCTGTCTAGCCTATATACTTGAAAGCCAACGAAGCCCAGTTCAGCGTCTTTTATATCAGGCGATAGCCAGGTTTCTGTTAGAACTATAACATCATAATGACAACATTGGAAAAGCACACCTAATGTTAATTAGCTTAGTTTTAAGGCCACGCACATTCTGATAAAATATTTTAAGATTAGAATTACAAATATTATTACTTACATAATTGTGGTTTGTATAAGAATCACCATAAGTTTTAGAAAATGTATCACGATTACATAAGTAAGTATTACTATTATGATGTGTGTATAAATGTTCGCTAATGGACGAATTAACAACCGGGTTATTGGCATAAGAGTTTCTAGACAATGGATGGTTTATACTGTTCAAAGCATTAAAGTTATTGGGAGGTAAAAGAATATTATTCACAAAATCAAAATAACAATTAATGGTTGATAAGGCGCGAGTGCATAACGTACAATCGGGACAAGTAGTATTTACCATTGTGTGTTGGCAATCAACGGTGATGAAAACACTTTTGGTCCAAGGCGGGTTAGGTGACGGCTTTAAGATTCTTTGGGTGTTGGACGTTGCTGGTGATTTTCATTTTTTGAGTCTATAGTAACTGGTTTAATCTTAGGAATTCCATCGTGGTATCGGATCGAGATATTGGCTTCTCCTCTTTCTCGCCTGGTACTAAGTTCTTGACAGACCACTCGTATTGATTGATGTTCAGATTGTGTACGATCACGGGTGATGGAGACTGAGCGGAGATGATCAGGTGGATTGATTTGCAGTTTAGGGAAAGTCGTGACCACAGAATCAACTGCTGCCGGGAGGAAAGTACTATTTTCAGTAGTCGTGGCTTATTATCGGCAGTTTTGCCGATTCTGAAGGCTCTGAGAATGGACTCAACCGGAACAGGAGGATTAAGTTTATCTCATTTAGAGCTCATTTAGAATACGGTTGAGCTTATCATCAGTATTATTCGGTATAGGTTTGATCTGACAAGCTTTGCAAATCCAAGAGGGATTATTAGAAGGAGGTTCAGCGCTTTGTGGTAGAGGGTTAACACAGTTGGAGTGAAAAAGATTTGTGCAACTATTACACGAAATCGATGGATGTACAGGTTCCGAACACAGTCCACAGTTTGGGCGAACCATAGTATTAGTAAGTTATAACACTTGCCCCTTTAAATGTTTGGGACGCAACCAAAGCAGCAGTGATGGAATTTGGATGTAGTTGGCGGATCTGTATTGGTGAAGGAATAATGACGATCGTTCAAGTCTCCAGGACGTTCTACGATAGTATTTCGCCGGATAACAGCTGTTCTAATAGGTGATTGTATATTGGAGATGCTTATCGACCACGGCTATAGATAATATGGTTTCGGAACGGCCTATACTAAAGAACGCATTACACCGAGCTGGAATGTTATTGAAATGTCACGTGACTAAAATTACGAGCCTGTCGCGCCATCTACGGTATTTGATAGAACTAATAATTATTGTAACACGTCTATATTATGCAGAATGCAGAATTGCAAACCACGGCCATGGCTATATAATATATTAAAATGCAAACTATATATGACATACTATATTATAATTTAAGTATATATCCAGTGGCGTACACAGGGGGGGCTAAAACGGGCTAAAATCCCCCATTGCCGTATAATTATTACTTAAAAAAAATATATTAATGAAGTTTTTAACTACAAATTAACTATGGTTTTGTCAAAATGTCCTCACCTAAACGTCTTAAATTATTAGAATGGACAAAATAAAAATAAAATTGTAATTAATTGTCAAGCCCCCCCCCCCCCCTATTGAAAAATAGCCACTGTATCTATCCATTGAATAAATATGATAAAACTATTTAAGTATTTTAGATTCTGAGTGAAACGATGAATGTATTGATTTTACAATGATGTGTGTTTTTTTTTTTTTTTTTTCATTTTTTTTGTGTCTGTGTACACGATAAGTAGTCAAAATAATGCTTCGATTTTCAACTTCAGTATCTTGTTCGATTGGAAAGTGAATTTCGTTGGTGCATTGGGGAGGTCAACATTTAAATTTTCCAGTAGTTTTCAAAGGCACCGGGAAAAACAAAATTAAAATTAAGGAAAAACGGGAATTTTTACGCAAAATCGGTTTTCCAAATAATCGATTTTGGTTTTTGGTGTAACTTTAAAACAAATGACCGTAGATACATGAAATTTTCAGTGGTTGTTTATATTTGCATTTTCTATACACGATAACATTTTCAAAATATTTTGATTTATTTTGAACTGTTTAGGGACATTTTCATTTTCCAATTTTATTAGTTTTTTTTTATGAATATCAATAACAATTTATTTGTTGAGTAAAAATACTTGAAAATTTAATACAAGGCTCCTGCTATATTGTTTCAAAGACAGATGAAAAATATTAAAAATCGTTAGTCACGGTTTTTTTTTTTAAGCATTTAAAGTTCAAAAAATGACAAAATATGGAAAAATCACGAAAATTTGCAAATTATTTCGAGTTAGAAATTCATAAAAATTTTTCTTTTTAAATCTAAGATATGAAAATGTAATTCAAGATTAGATTCCTTAAAAGATTTCCTACATTTATCAAAAAAAAAAATTCTATAAGAAAGTCAAATTAAATTTTTATGAGAGTTTGAAATTCAAATTTTTACAACATTGAATATTCACTCGATGTCTCATGTAGCAATTTTCTTATTTTGTTGTTATTTAAAAACCAATGACTGTAGATACATTAAAATTTCACTGAATGTTTATTTTATCAATTCTTATACTTGATAAAATTTTCAAAATATTTCGACTTTTTTTGAGCTGTTTACGGACAATTTAATATTTCAATTTTTTTAGTTTTTTTTTCTATAAATATCAATTAAGTTTTATCTGTTTTGCCAAAAAGTGTAAAAAATTAATACAAGGCTCCTGATATATTGTTACAATAGCAATTGAAAAATATTAAAAATACATAGGCACAATTTTTTTTTATAAGCATTTAAAGATCGCATTTTGACAAAATTTATCAAAATCTCGAAAATTATCAATCATCGTAATTAATAAATTATAAAATGTTCAGTTTTTATAGCTAATTGTTGAAAATTTAAAAAAAAAGATTCTCATAAATAGTTCATACTGTAGCCAAAAAATCTAAAAAGTATATGAGCTTAGTTATTTTTTACAGACATTTTAAGTTCAAATTTGGGACGAAATTACATATTAAAAAACCTAGCATACCTATTTTAGTTATTTTGTTGTGAGTGTATAATACTATTCGTGGGTACTTGAAACTTCTAAAGTACACTATATTATATATCTATGATAGTATCAGGGTTTGTTATTGATGTATAACGTGTTATAAGTACCTAATGGATATTGTGATATGATTAATTTGGAATTTATTATAGGTCAATTTTTTTTTTAATACCATAGATATGTATATATTATGTCTTAAACCTAGACTGACATACCGTCTTCGCTCAGAATCGTTTTTCTTATACAATGATATTGTATCATTGAATTCAAATTTAATAGCATCAATTATACAGTGACCCACTTGTAACCTACTGTACAGCAGAGCGACATCCACTTACCCACCTTTTTTATTTTTGTTGTACACAGTTTGCTTTTCCTTGTAAATTGACGTGTTCAACACGAATTGAAACATTATTATTTTGATTTAGAATTTATTTCCTGTGCTCTGAGTCAAAATAACCAAGTTTAACAAAAAAATTTCAGTATGTTTAATTGTTGTTTGAAATATCCACATGAAGCTTCAAAAACAACTTTTGGGGTCCCTAAAAGCATAGAGGAAAGAAATAAATGGGAAAATGCATTAAAAACTGTTCTTAAAAAAAGTTACAGAGTTTGTGCTTCACACTTTAAGAAGAGCAACTTCTTAAATTTAATTTTAAAATTAATATAATATATTTAAGTTTAGCTACTTACTATAGTTAGTCTAAATATTGGTGTGTAATTATTAATTAATACATATAAATACTTGAGCGAGCACTATAAACCTGAATTATTTATTTATTGCATACCTATAATATTCGTATATACAAACAAAAATATTATTGTATTACTGTATTTTACTTCTGTATAATTATTATTGAAAAACAATAACTATGACAAAAATACAGAATAATATAATTTTTAATGTAGTCATACAATTTATCACCCAGAAAGCGCTGTGTGCTGGTGTAAAAGCTAATATACGTTTTAAGCTTCACATTTTCACGTTTCGTTCCGCAACCATATTATCTATACAGCCCTATGCAACTCGATGAGATTAACATATAATAATCCGTGCTCTTATTGACGGGACCGGGAACTCATAAATACTAGTACTGCCATCTATCAACGACGTATGGTGATCTATAAGTTTATTGTCAATGATATCTCATGTTATGATAAATATTATTAAATAATACAACTTATGGGCATTCTTTTTTTTTCTTAAAATTAGGCCTTTCAGCCTTTGTATGATTATAGGACGTGGACTAAAGTAGCAAATTCTATAACAACAAACAACTTTTGAGTTTTTATTTTTTATTTTATATATAATAATAATAAATAATAATAATGAACACAATGACTTACATAATACATGTTGTTAAACATTTTGAATACTTAGTATTGGTAAGTGTAATATTAATTAGGTATATCTTTAATAATAGATATAATGTACGAATGTTTTGTGAAACTTAATGAAATTATTATGATTTACAAAATGTTGATAGTTTTTTCTTTTTTGCGTTTTCTTTTAGCTGTTCCTAGTTTGTTTGCCTAGTCCATTGACGCATTCTCATATTTATATAATATTTCATTATATACGCTATAATAAAATCTTTATGTTCCCCACATGGAAATGTGAACGTCTCACACTTGGTTATCAAGGCTTCTACCGTGTCTTCAAAAACACTTGTTTTACCTAAATGGTTCATCAATTCATCTTCAACCACACTCAATAATTCATACAAATATTTATTTGGATGTTTTAGCCATCCTCTGGATTTTATATTTGTCAAATCAGCCTCGGATGTGAAACATTCATTACTACGAAAATGTGTTTGACATATTCGATCACCAACAAATAATGGAAACGGAACTACAAATTCCCAATTCTCTTTCCGCTTAAGAGTAACTATAAAAGTTGGAACTCCTTCTGTTCCTTTATGACATATAACACACTTTTTTGGCATGATGAGGTACAAAGTTATAAACTACTAAAAGTGTTTTCAATTAAAAACGCTCGTCGTTCGAGTTAAATTACATAACAATATACTTTTGTTTTTATACATTTTGGCGCAATTTTTGTTTACCTATGTATTAGATTTAGGCGGGGAGATGAATGTATTGGATTTACAATGTTTTTCTTTCTGTGTTTGTATACACGTTTTATAGATGAAAAAAAACTTCAATCTTTAACTTTAATGAATATTTCTGGTAGCTTTGTACTTTTATTTGTAGGTATTCGGAAAATTTACAGTACCTAGGTACTTCACAAAATCGGGAAAACGGTAATTTTTACGAAAAACAAGATTTCAACAAAATCAACTATCTTATTTTCGTAATTCTTTATTCTAGTATATAATCATAATTATAGACGTACATTTTTCTTAAAATATTTATATTATCATTTTCTAGACATAAGTCCAAAACACATGGGCCTCCTCCCATGCCCATATTTCTAAAAAAATGTATACATATTTTAAAAATAATTACAAAAAAAAACATATTATAATATCAAATGTTTTCCAAAAATTATGAACCCCCACCCTCACCAACCATGTCTCTGGAGCCACCCTTGACTCAGGCACGTACACAAAAATAAAATTCGAGGGAGGTTCATATTAGATTTCGGGGGGGTTTTAACCCCCAAAACCCCCCTGTATACGTGCCTGCTCTGACTAGATGAGTGTATAGGTGTAATTACACTCGAAAGTCGAAATGTAGTACCTGCTATTTATTAATCAGTAAAACAACTGCACCTGAGACCGTGGTTTCCGTATAATGATGAAAAACATTAATCCGCTAGATAGTGACACGTGTACATGACTATTCTCTGTCCGGTCATTAAGAAATAAGAACACGGATTTCATTATCAAGTTGCCAGACCTGATAATCTAAGACCGTGTTATCTATAGCCGTGGTATCGACTATCACTAAATGATAAGAAAGTACTACTCATATGAAAGCAGTATCAACGATGATAATATGAAGGTCCCAAAAAAGGGGAAAGATTTTGAGTAGGCACTTTGAAACGATTCATAACTAATTCACGGAATGTTATATTAAAGAAAACTACACACGACTTTATAAAAGAGAGGCAGAGACATTTATTAGTACGAAAACGAACCGGAGCGTAATTGGACGTTAACTGTTATCACATTGTAACTGTGACTGTGACCGTACACTGTGACTTATATACTTAATTACCTATTTCTTAACTTAAAAATAAAATATTTATTACCTATTCTATTCATTGAACTCACCAGATCACATCCCAAAGCCATATTTATTTTGTTTTACTTGAAACATGTCAGTCAATTTTTAAAACCTAAATACAATAGGTACAAACTTTAATACATTTAAGCATCTCAACTTTATAAAATTTAAATATTATAGATAAGTTTTACTTAATTGTTTTAAATGTACTAATATACAACTCAATAGTAAGCCACCCTATAGCAATTTGTATGGGTTGAAAAAATAAGCAATAAACACCCTCCAAGTCTCAAGGAATCTATTGATATAACTTGTATTTAAAACAGACTTTTGAGTCAATTAATTTCAGACACACAGACTAGCATCTATTTTTATATGTTATATAGATATCGGTACAATAATTTGTTATACTTTTTTTTTACGATATAAACAATCTATATAACTAAGCATAGTAAGAATTTAGTATATGTGAGAAAGGGAATAAAAAATAACATTATTGGGGTTTCGTAAATAAGGAGCCCACTAGTAGCACTTACCTCAGAATTTACGTTATTATAGGATTCATTTAAAAGATCTCTACACCATTTTCTTTTGATATACTTGTTTTAAACTATTTTTAATGTTGTGAAATTATTCAACTAAAAGTGCTAAAAAAAAATATTTTATGTTTCTAAATTGGTAGGTAGGTATATCTTTTTTTTAAGTAAAATAACATAATGCAGCAAGATAAAATATTTTTTTATAATAAAGTTTTAACAAATACTAATATACAGTAAAATAAAAATTGTTAAAGCTAAATTCTTTAACATAAATAAAATTCAAAAAATTCAAAATATAATTCAATAAATGGATTTCTTGTAATATACATTTAATCCAGAAATTCAAAGGATAGAAAGTTGTTGGGGAACTCAGAAGCTAAACATTTTAAAATATAATATGTGTTGTACAACTCCTGACATGATCCCATAGTATTATACATCATACAACAATAGAATATATTTATAAACAAACAGCTATTACAGGAAACTTATTGAAACGTGGCACTGTAAGGAATCAATAAAAGAGACAAATTTAATAACATTTTAAAGAGACAATGGACATGGTAAAACTATTTTAATATTTTTTTTCTAAATTATATATTTTTTTTTTTTTTATTTTACAAATGCACATACACAATCTATACAATTTGCACAATAAGCGTATAGGATAAGAGTTAAAAAATAAAAAACATGGATTGCTTGAATAAGAAGCCACCCATTAGTGGCACTTACTTACTTGATGTTATATTTAGGGTAATTGCGGGATATTTAATTTAAATGGTCACGACACCATTTCCTTTTGAGTCTACGTGGTGGATTTCCAGGGAGTGAGAAGGTATGTAGCTCTTTTATTAATGGGTTAGGGTGATTTTCTGATTTTCAAGTCTGTCGAAAAAACGTTTGTAAAATAGTTTCGCTTCAGTTACAAGAGGTAGAATACCTAGATCTTGGTGAAGAGTTAAATTAGAGACGTAGAAGGGAGCGTTAGCGATTTTTCTAAGGGTAATATTCTGAAAGACTAAATTATGTATTAAAAGAATAAAATTTAAAAGCGTACATTTGTAAATGATAAATAAGTGAAATTGACGACAGTGAAACTGATAATAATATAATAATTTTTAATAATAAACTAAATGCACTAAATTTTGAATACTATTTAATTTGTCATTATACCACTTTTATATCGAGTATTATATAATATTATTTAAATATTACTGTAGAGTACCTACTAGATTGGCAAAAACGGTAGAGCGCATACCGCAGTCGCATTGTTGAAAGTAGAATGCGTACAAAAAAAAAACCTTAAACATTATGATTCAATAATTATTTATTAGTTATTATGGTATAAGTAATAAGACTTTAATGGTACTGAATATATTTTTCATACTTTGTTAGTTGATACACAAACTTTTGGTAGTACAAAGTTTAATTTATAATTTAAAATCAAATTTAAATTAGATAAATCTGATGTCATAATCATTAGATCAACTTTTAATTTTTTGATTTTTAAATTAAAACTACGCAGTTCTATATTATTTTATATGTCTTAATTACAATTAAAATAATGTTTCTGTAAAAATATTATTATGTTTTTTTATATTCTTTTAAATTGATACAATAGGTGCACATGAGATTTTATAAATTTTAATCTAAATAAATTTTAGATGCAAATTGAATATACTTGTGGGAGTGAGAGGTAAAAATCAAAAATACAGACTTGACATTTTTACCATATATTAATATTAACAATTTCTTAACATGATATAGTTTTCAAAATAGTTCTTTTGTGCTATTTTTTAACATTTTAAATTGTCAACATATTAGTTTATTTTTAATTTATGTATGATAATAATTTTGTTTGTAAGTGAAATAGCTTAAAAGTTTAATACGAGTTCCTCGAGAGTAGTTCTGGATAATATGTTCAAAAAACATAAAAATAGTCACCATTGTAGTGATCCCTCACTAACGCTTATATTTTTGAGTTCAAAGACGTTGACGGTTGAATAGGAGAAAAGGTTGCAGAGACAAGTTACACAAGTTAGGTATAAGTAGTTTTATTAACGTTTTAAAAAGTAAATGATCACAATTAAGTGTAATATAAATTTGAGGACAGAGCGAAAAGCATCTGCCCGAGAAGTTAGTTACGTACAGTATGTACGTAGTGCAAACTCTAAACTAATTCTAATTTTGCAATAGACATCATCTTATATTTATATGAAATCTATGCGGATATAAAAGTACACGGTAGAGTCTAGGAGATGGATATTTGAAAGGAGCCTGGGGCTAGATGTTGTTATTGCCAAAAGACCCGAGTGGTTGATTGGCAATTTAATAGGTTTGTTTTCGCATTATTTTGGCAAAGCGAAGATTCGCAAATTAATCGTTAGATTAATTTTTTAATTGCTCTGTCAAATCCAAGGTTTGAAAAAGATTCCTAGTCTTGTTGTTGTCCAGCGTGACATCGTGAGAAATGTAATTATAATATTTAATATATAGGAAACGACTCCGTCGGTTTACTACACCATTTTTTAAAAAATTCTTTGAAATTATGAAAATGTATACTATATAAGATTCAACATAAGTATTTTTTTGATGGAAAAGTTTTATGTGATTTTACATACATTTTTATAAGCGTTTAAGTTTAAATTTTTGTCGAAATTGGATATATTTTAACAAAAATAAGATATTGTTGTAACTTGAATTTCAAAAAAAAAATTGAATTTATACATTAATTAATTTAATTGTCAACAATTAATGTTAAAATTGCCATTTTCCATACATAGTAAAATTTTCAAACTATTTTGACTCTTTTAAAGCTAGTTCATAGAGATACATGTCAATTGATCGAAAACAGTTGATCGCACGAGAATGGCTCGAAAATGTTTGATCGAAAAACAATTGCTCGCAAACGACAATTGATCGAAGAATTGTTCGCAAAAAAACAAATTGGTTGCTTAATAACGCGATCACCCGAATAAGTAATAATATAATCATACACCTTTTAATAAGAGACCAGCCCACTTCATATTTCCAACGAGTCACATCGATAATAATTTTATATCGTACAATTTTATAACGTATACGTATATTTTATAACGTGGTGAACTTTGTACTTAGATATAAAGATAGTATCGAATAGTAATTTTATATTAATTTTATATTATGGTGCATGACAAATCCGACATTAATATTGTTTCAGTATTATTGTGTACCTAATTCAAATACGTTTGACTCGTTTTCAACTTATTTTACCATCCTGAGTTTAGTGTATGTAAACAATGAAAAAAATAAAAGAATGTTAGAATATATAGGATTTTTACATACACAAGAAAAAATTTGTAATGAAAAAGTGTATTGGAAATGCTCCGAAAGTAAAAAACTGAAATGCAAAGGTCGAGTTCATGTTGTTAACGAAAATATCGTGAAGTTCATCGAACATAATAATCATGTACCAAATGCATCAAAAGTTGAGGTTAAGAAGGCTATATCACATTTAAAGGAGATTTCATCCCAATATACACTTAGTACTCATGCTGTTATTGGAGAAATGTCATGAGCAGTATATATCTGGCATAGAACCTCAGAAAAAAAAAATACCAAGATAGGGTTAAGAGAATCAAAAAAATTTGCACTGATTAAAATGATCTATTCATTCTAGATTATCTACACGGAATAGCCTATAATTTTCAACTGCAAATTTAATTATTAATTTTACGTTTTTTTTAGCAATTTTAATAATATATAATTATAAATTTAGCAATTTTTTTTATTTTAATTTAATTTTTAATTTTTTTTAATTTTTTTTTTAAAAATATAAGATATCAATAAAATAATAATATAATTTTTAATTTTGCTAGCAATTATTTCTCTTCGAACGTTTGCGAGCAATTGTTTTTCGATCAAAAGTTTTCGAGGAATTGTCATGCGATTAACTGTTTTCGATCCATTGACTGGATAAAAGTTCATAGCTTTTTCTTAGCAGACATAAGAAATTTTTATAGAAAACTCCCAACAAGCTTATAGTCTCTCTCTATATACTATAGAGTCTATAGGTACCTTTGAAATAATATTGAAAGATTTTTTATAATATAATATATTAGGCGATGTTTTCGTCAAAAATTTGTTCAACATACTATACTACTAAGAGTAAAAAATATTGTCATAATAGCAATGTAAATAAATTAAAAAATATCCTTAGAAATAGATGTTGACACACCATTTTTTATATGAATTAAATACTATTTCAAAGATTTTTTCTTGTTTATATTAATTAGTCTAAAAATTATGTAATACTTAGTTGTTACAATACAAATAAAAAGGTGAAAAAGAAATTAGTTAGTCATTAATTACTACTTGGGTGTGCAAAAAAGTAACAAGTAACATTATTGTTACTACGGTATTGTGGACTGTATATGATGGTCTACTCAAACAACAACTCGTAGGTAGATTAATGTAAAGTGCCGGGTGACGGCCTACTATTGGTAAAAACAAGAAATAAATATTGTGACACAAAATGTGCCGGCCGGCGTGGGGCTCTTAACAATCTAATTTACAAATATAATATTAACCTAATAAATCAATAATAATAATAAATTAATAAACCGTGATAGCCGGACGCAGAACGAAGGTGACGAGTGACGGTAATGATACTGGTGACAGTGACTGGTGATGGTGTTTGGTGAAGTGGAGTGACGGTGATTGACGGTAACAGAACAAAGAAAAAAAAACAAATCGGAACATAAACAAACCCACGGTTCAAGGTAGCAAATTACGCACAGCAACGTATAGCGGCTACGCACGCACAGTCCGGTGGCGGAACATGAACTAAACGTCGTCTGCGGTATAGCTTAGGTACGGTGTGTTCGTTGCGCTATCACCCGATTACGTAAATGCCTGAACATACCGCCCACCTTGAATGGTCCCACATTCAATCACAACGGTAAAGGGCATAACTTCACCACTGGACGCTTGAGAGTCTTGCCATTAGCTAATTTGACATCAGCTACTCGGACGACATTGTCTTCGCCAGGGTATAGTTTGACAACGCGCGCTGTACTCCATGTGAGTGGTGGGGTGGGTTCCTTAATGATTACCAAGTCATCCACCGCCAGGTTCCTGTCTGGGCGTTGCCACTTCTTTCTCGTTTGCAGATTTTGTAAGAATTCCTTTTGCCATCGCTGCCAGAAGTGAAGTTGAATCTGTTGAACTAGGGTCCAACGTTGACGTAGAGTGTAGGCTAGTGGATGGTCGTGGGTATATGGTTGTGGTATAGAGGCTGGTGGACCCATAGTCAAAAAATGCCCTGCGGTGAGTGGTGCTAAATCGTTAGGATCGCTGGAGAGGGCGCCTAATGGCCTGGAGTTTAGGGTTGCTTCTATTTTGTGGAGGACAGTATTTAGTTCTTCGTACGTAAGGACCTGATCTTGAACTATGCGCCGTAACAACCCCTTGGCCGACTTGACTGCCGCTTCCCAGAGGCCACCCATGTGCGGCGCAGCAGGAGGATTAAAGTGCCAGGTTACTTGATTTGATGAAGCGTAGCGGATGGTCGTAGGTGACTTCAGAATTTCTTGCACTTCCTTTAAATAATGATTAGCTCCTACAAAATTAGTCCCACAGTCAGTGTATATGTCCGTGCAACGTCCTCGTCGTGCGATAAAGCGTTCGAGGGCTGCAACAAATGTGGGCGTCGACAAGTCTGAGGCAAGCTCTATGTGTACGGCTGTAGTCGCCATACATACGAATATGCATATGTACGCCTTGGTGACCCGCAGTCGGCGTAACAGAGCAGCCTTTACGTCGAATGGTCCCGCAAAATCAATACCAACTTTTCCGAATGGTTTGATTTGGCCAAGTCTGTGTGGCGGTAGATCTCCCATGATCGGTTGAGGAGCCCGAGGTAGTACTCTGAAACATGGTATACAACGATGGAGTTGCTTTCGTATTACACCTCTTGCCGATAATACCCAAAAATGCTGTCGTATAATGTTCTGCACGGTTTGTGCGCCTGGGTGACATTTTTGATCAAATGGTAAATCTGCACGCTGTAAACGTCCACCCACCCTTATCACGTTGTCGAAATCGAGAAATGGAGCAAGCTTCCGCAGCTTGGATGAACATGATCGGTTGTGGGTCAGATTATTGAGGTCATCGGAAAAATACACTCGTTGTGTCCATTGTACTAATGCCCGTATGGCCTCATCGATCTCAGCGGAAGTGGGCGGTGTTTGACGGTCCGGAATTTCCTTTTTAAGGAGACGCTTACGTACTCGCAGCCAATAGCAAGCCAAACGAGTAATTTTTGTCCAACTGTCCGACTGGTACAATAACGGACATTCGGTCAAGGTTTCGGTCGTAACCAACGTGATTACCTTCGTCTCAAGTTGCTCCTCGCGCGACTCATCGGTTAACATCACTGCTTCTGTGGATGGCCAATAGTCTTCTGACAATCTGAAGAAAGTTGGTCCCATCCACCACTGAACGTGATTGGCGAGTTCTTTTGGCGACAATCCCCTGGACGCACAGTCTGCCGGGTTCTCCTTGGTTGGTACATGTCTCCACAAGTATGACGTGGTCGTTCGCTGTATTTGTGCAACTCTATTTGCTACAAATGTCTTCAATTGCGCTGTTGGCGACTTTATCCATGCCAAGGCCACTGTAGAATCAGACCAGGCTATCACCCTTTCGATCTTGATTCTAGTTAGGTTTTGGCACACAAAATGTAATAATCGAGCTAATAACAATGCACCGCAGAGCTCCAATCTTGGAATCGTGATCCGTTTTGACGGGGCGACTTTCGATTTACCCATTAACATAAAACATTTTGCCGAATTGTCCGGTGCCACGACACGGAGATATATCACTGCGGCATATGCTGCTTCGGAACTATCAGAAAAACCGTGCAACTCATATTTTCCGTTGTTACTTGTCACTCGACGGGGAACTCGGATCGACGACAACTCTGGCAACTCTTGGTGATAACGTGTCCAAGCCTCTGCCGCTTCTTGTGGTATGTTGTCATCCCAACCAAGGTCTATAGACCAAAGGTACTTCATTAACCTTTTAAGCTCGGTTGTGACAGGTGATAATAATCCAAGAGGGTCGTAGATACGCGCGATTTCCGAGAGGATGGCACGTTTGCTATAACGCACTGGGTTCGGTCGGACATTGTAGCTTAACTTATCCAGATTTGGAATCCATTTAAGTCCTAGAACATTGGTGGTCCCACCCTCGGTTACATCGAAGGTGACTGGGTCCGTTTGTCGGTGTGAGCTTGGTACAGCTTCCAAGAGCGCACGAGAATTACTACTCCATTTTCGAAGCTCAAACTGCCCTTTCCCCATTACTATGCTCAAATTGCGTTGTAATTCTAGTCCGTTTTCTACACTGTCAGACCCAGTGGCAACATCGTCAACGTACATGTCTTCTCGTACAACTTGTCTCACTTCAGGATACTGTTTAGCTTCATCCTCTACTAATTGATGCAGGGTTCTTATCGCGAGAAATGGAGATGAACGCTGCCCGAAAGACACGGTTGTCATTTTCAAAATTATAATATTTCAAATTCACTTACTGGTTCTGCCAATGAAAACCGGTAGAGCAAGCGTTGGTATTGATGGTGTTCTGGTGTCACTTTAATCTGCCGGAACATCTGTTTGACATCAGCAGTAAAGACTATAGTATGCAACCGAAAACGTAAAACTATTCCCGGTAAATCTTGTTGCAATTTTGGTCCCGGGTATAGATTATCATTCAGCGACATCCCAGAGGTCGTTACAGCCGAAGCATCGTACACCACTCGTACTTTTGTGGTGGTACTCTCGAGCTTTATCACTGCGTGATGCGGAGTATAGTAGACTGGTTCGACCCCACACTGAGCCTGTGGTACTTTTGTCATGTTACCGCTGTCTAAGTAATCCTGCATTGCTGCATTATATTGCGTACGAAGGTCTTCCGACTTTTCTAATCTGGTTTCAAGTCGATGAAGTCGCTTAAGAGCCGTGGCCCTTGACTCTCCTAATTTCGGTGGGTTGGTGACAAATGGCAGATGAACAATGTATCTACCATCATCTTGTCGAGATGTAGTGCTGGTATATATTTCCTCACATTTCATATCTGCTGGCGTGTTCCGTTCAGCCGTAGGTACTTCTTCCAACTCCCAGAATCTTTGCACAGATTGGTCTATGGATTCTAAGGTTGTATACAATGCAGTCGTAGTCCTCTCTTCCGTACCCGCGATACGTCCCATCAAGATCCATCCAAATATGGTGGACAACGCGACGGGTTCATTCAGACCACCTTCTCGCTTATCCCCACAAAGGAGATACGGAAAAACATCAGCTCCGAAGAGTATATCGATTGGTAGTGACTTGTGATACGCAGGATCCGCTAGAGTTATATCTGCTATGTGAGGCCAGTCGTTCTTCCATATTCGAGCTGATGGTGTTAGCCCGGTTATGCGTGGTAAAATGAGCACCTCCACGGTAAGGGTTGGCGACGTTTGTTCATTTGGTCTGACTAATACTTGTGTAAATCCTCTTACTGTTGGCACGGGCGTACCTGCAAGAGCTTGGATAGTTACATTACTTTTGCGTCGAGACAAACCTAGGCTCTTGAAGCAATGTTCGGTTATAAAACTGCTCTGACTTGCACTGTCTAACAGTGCACGTACCGATCTAAACTGTCCATCAGAATCTTGTACGGAAACCGAAGCAGTTGATAGAAGCACACTGGTACGGTAATTTCGAATGTCAGCCGATACGTGGACTCTAACTTCTGGTTCTATCGTATGCCCATCTTCGCTAGCTGAGTCATTCCGGGTGCTCAGATGCAGCCACGTATGATGCCGTCCGCTACACTCTACGCATACTCTGTCGGATTTACATTGTGGCGCTAAATGTTCACTAAAACACATAAAACACCTCTTAAGGTCCTTGATTGTCTGATGTCTTTGTTTTGGTGTCATTTTTTTGAAACGGGTACAGTGTATTAGTAAGTGTCCAGGTTCTGCCTCACATACTTGACACTTAAACGTCTTCTTCTGTGGTCGGTTGGATGGTGAACTCACTTCCTTGGACGGTGCTCCGCTATAGAGGGCCATAGTCCGGTTAGGTTTGATCCATTTGTGTTTAGGTTGTCCTCCGTCAGCCTTACCTTGACTAACTATAGCTGACTTACTAAACTTGGTAAGAAAGGTTACAAACTAAGCTAAGGTGGGATCGGTGGTTGTGTCAACTGCTAGTTCCCACTGGGCTCGTAATTGATGGTCGAGTTTCTTTTGTAGTTGGTGAAGTAAAATCGGACTCCACTGATCCACTGGATACTTAAGATTTTCTAATGCCCCAATGGCACTGGTAATAGTGTTCAGAAGTTGAACGATAGAGTTTCCATTCCCGACTGTAGCGTTCGGTGCATCAAACAGTTCGTCCAAATGACTCTCTGCTATATATCGTCGATTTGCATACCTAGCTTCTAATTGCGACAGCGCGAGTTCGTAGTTGCTATCTGTGAGCATTAAATTCGCAATTAATTTCAAAGGCTCCCCTTCCAGATATGACTTTAAATACCCGAATTTGACGACAGGACGTATATTTGTATTTTCATGCACAATCGTATCAAACAGGTTCCTAAATCCAGTATACGCCTTTGGATCACCACTAAACTTAGCAATCGTTAACTTCTCAAGTGGAACGACGCTCGCATTACTAGCACGAGAACTATTTGATAAGCGCGATTCCTCGGAATTTGTCATGCTTGATTCTGGTAGAAACTCGTCAGCTAGGATTTTGCAACTGAAGTACTGCTCCTCGAACTCAGCCCTCAGCCCATCCAAATTAGGGACAACATCCTCCGTCCCAGGTTTACCATTGTGCTTAATTAAAATTCCCAACTGTGTTTCAAAATCTTCGTACATACGTTCCAAGGTTGCATACATTACCTTAAATTTTGATTTAGCAGTTTTATCATTTTTATTCTTCGATAATGCCTGACCTGCTTCATCTATCCGTTGGACCCTCTTCTGTAAATCTTGCACACGGATCTTCGCTTCTTCAAACACCCCCATAGTTAAAAGGGAGAAATAGGTACAATAAAATTACTTTAATAATTTATTTGTTTCTGTATACACTCTGTATACACTACTGGTACAGATATAATTAAATTGTCTAATTTGGTAATTAATTAGGTCAGATTGCGGCGGTACTCAAGCCGCCCGCGATCTCAAGGTCGACCGGTATATCGTCTTCGTCGTCGACAAGTTCGGGTAACAAGTCACGACCACGGACAAGGTTCAAAGTCCAACTTTACAAACTGGACGTGCTGTCTCCTACACAATATATAATAACCACCATGGAATGCAAAATTTAATTATTCTCTCTAATAGTCGGAGTTCTGACTCTTAGGACATTCAATATATTCAATTAAAATATCCTAGGCACTAAGGACCAAATGTTACTACGGTATTGTGGACTGTATATGATGGTCTACTCAAACAACAACTCGTAGGTAGATTAATGTAAAGTGCCGGGTGACGGCCTACTATTGGTAAAAACAAGAAATAAATATTGTGACACAAAATGTGCCGGCCGGCGTGGGGCTCTTAACAATCTAATTTACAAATATAATATTAACCTAATAAATCAATAATAATAATCTCTATATATAAAGCATGAACACGTGTGGCGCCGCCTATGCGTTAAATCCGAACTGCTTAGTGGAGAATGGAGGGAAATCGCGTTATCACTCCTCCTTATCGCTTTTTTAAGTCCAGCCAGAAGACCCCCTACGGTCCCCACGGTTTTTCGGCCGTAACTCCCCAACGGTTGCTCCTAGAGTTCCGGGAAAAAAATTTTGCCCCCTTGACGCAACCCTAGCGGCTCTCGAGGGCGCCGACCAGCCCCCGCAAACCAGGACCCCCCATCCCCCCCAGGGGAGGAGTTCGGGTCCCCCGATAGGGACAGTAAAATCCGCACCGCCACACCGATAGGGACAGTAAAGGAACTTACTTCAAAATGTTCGAGTTTTACCCCCCTCGGGGGCCTCGGAAGGTCCTGTTTGGACCTTATTCGCGTTCCTCGATAAATTTATAGTCGGCGCGGGGCCCTACTTTTGGCCCGGCGGGCCCGCGGCGGCGGATCTCGAGTGCCAACGGAGCGCCGCCGTCGCGCGCGTTTTTTGCCGTTTTTTTCGAAAATTCGAGTTTTAGGCGTTTCGGGGCGTATCGACATCCCCGTTTGGATCTTATTCGCGTTCCCGCTAAATTTGTATTCGGCGCGCGGCCCTTCTTTTTTATAATCCTGTCCCCCGGCGGACCAGTCGATCGCAGAGAGCGCAGCGTCGTCGCGATTTCGACGGTTTTTCCGACTTTTTCGACTAGAGTCGCGTTTAGCACCTCTACGAGACGTCTGACCTCCCCGTCGGAGACGTATTCGCGTTCCCCGCTAAATTTATAGCCGGCGCGCGGCCCTACTTTTTCAAAAACGAGTCTTAAACGTTTAGGGAGGTTAAACGTGAGCGGAAACGAGAGTAGGTACCGTGTATGTATAGCTATATATACAGGCATAAATACATGCGTCGCGTCGTTTTTTGCGGAGCCGTCGTGGTCGCTGCGTTATCACTCCTCCTTATCACTTTTCACGATTTTTTTATAAACGGAAATGAAAATATGCGACGAAAAGTTCGATTTTTTGATTCAAGAAACTGCGTTATTATGTTATATTTTACTGCTTACACGATCTACCCACAGAGTCGGTCTGTAGGTATCTGGTACATGCATATTATAATATATAAATGTATATTTATCAAGAGTTGATACACGATGGCTGGGTTGGTTTAGTTAAATTATATACTTTATAAAATATTATCCCAGCTCGAGTCGACGATGGATGTCACAGAAACAATAATATAAAATAATTATATATTAGGTATTATTAATTTGAGTATACAATAGGTAGGTTTAATCAAATTAATAAATAGATAATTGATAAATAACAATATTTAGATAATTGACAACCACAGCTAGGTATTGCTTTTATTATCTACATTTGTGAGCAACGCACCTAAATCGTTTGACATGGGCTCGATTAAATATAAATATATAATTTACTATGTAGTAGGTACTTGATACAGCTATTACAGTTTTTAGGTCAGTAAGATTTGGTTTGATTTTAATACTGCTACAGATACAAATAATAGTTAATACTATATTAATAAACAAAATAGAACTTTATGTAAGTACCTCTTTATTTTAAGTCTGGCAATTAGATTGTATAATGATATGACTATATACTATTTGATATAACTTATATAAGTAGGTTTAAATATGAGTATTATATGAAATAAACTATTTGTTATTATAACGACTATGGTTATCTGGAATAGACAATAGTAATAATAACCAACATACTTGTAGGTATACTAGGTACTACTTAATATATTACAGTTTTTAGGTGAGTCAAATTATGTATATTAGTAAACAAAAAATTACTAAGTATATTATGTATTTAATTAAATTCTGGCAGTTATGTTGTATAATGATAAGACATAATTTGATATTACTCAAAATATGTGTAGGTCTATCATGTTTATTTATGTACATGAGTTTCAAATCAATAAAACAAAAACATAATTAATAAATGATGAATAACAAATTGATATTATATATTATGTACTTACATATGACCTATATGCATTATAATATATATGTATTACTATTATACCCATAGATGTATTAAGTATATACAATATAAACTACATTCATACACACTTGCATACACATAACAGATAAGTCATAACACAATGATGCACCATTATAAATGTGCAATTATAATTACTAAATAATTTAAACTATCATGAATATCATATGACATTAAATAAATTGGTAGGTAGGTACATAATATATTATATACAGTCATACAATATAACAGAAAAATATTATGATAGTAGACCTACTCAGTAAGATAAATGCCAAAAAATACAAACTATATGCATTGTATAGTGTATACATTTATACATACCTACGTTTAAGGTCAATCAAATTTGCTATTCATCAATAAAATGATCTATTTATTAATTTGATTTAATTCTCATAATTAAATAAATATACAAGGTAGGTACAGCTATATATGTAAGTAATATCAAATAGTATAGAAAATATTATACAATTATTAAATAACTTTACTACCCACCAACTTTACTTAAATATATAAAGATCTTTTTATTTATTAATATAATAATATATATTATATAGAAACAGTATTTGTATGCTACATTAAATTATTAATTACCAAAATAAGAAAGTGGCTATTTGATTACCTCAACCAATTAACTTAAATGACAACTGTAATATTATATTGATAAGTATGCATTTATTAGTTCATAACAAGGACTGGAACCGTAACCTTTTGAAAATCTTAGGACCGAAACCGGACCGGAACAATTAAATACATTTTTTTAAGAAAAGAAACCGAAACCTATATTTTGATGTAGAGGTTTTTTCGGTTTTTTTTGGTTCCAAACTCCAATAGATATTTCATCTGTGGTGTAAGTAGGTAATAACTAATTATTACTAATAATAAATAAATAATTATAAATACTACCTAAATTTTGGCGTAATGACGTCGAGGAAGGTGACTCGCGGTAGTCGGATTGCTTTGAATTTTTTTTCACATAATTCATAACTTTATTTTGCGTTGTCGGTGACTGTAATGGACGCTGTCCCGGCCACACGTTGCCTACCCGGATAACATAGATGGGTGACCTGCTAGACACCAAAATCAGACGGTGGCTATATGATTTGCACGGACGAACGAAATATTTTGAATTTTCTTCACGAAATGTATTCTTTAATTTTGCGTTTTCGGTAACAGTAATGAACGTCGTCAGCGATTCGACGCAGTCGGATCGCATACGTGATGACGTGCTCCAGCCGTCGAATATTGTCGGATTGCCTTCCAGGGTGACTACGACCAAAGTCGAGAAACGTGACTGACCAGCTAGACCCCAAATACTATAACTACGCCGAACGTCATTCGAGGTGACTGACCGGCAAGACACCCACAAAAATACAACGACTATATTATTTTTTATATATTTTACTATATTAGATTTTCATAATCATGTGTAGGTTCTGCGTTATGATTCATGTCCTATGTGTAGTAACACCCAAACAAAAAGCTGGCTATAAAACTCGGCCGTCGCACATTGTCGGATATCCTAGCCGTATTACTAAGGAGGACGTCGCTTCAGCTATATGATTTCTTTACGGGATTTTGAATTTCCGGCGGCATTTAAGAACGTTGTCAGCTAACATTGTTGCTTATACGGGCTACCACGTCGAACCGCGGTGATCCTAACCCTTATCACACACGGACCGGCTCGAGAACAACGAAAAGATCAGATATTTAGTTAATTTTGCGTTTTCGGTGACAGTAATGAACGGTGTCCGCGATTCGACGCAGTCGGATAGCATACGTGATGACGAGGCCCAGCCGTCGTATATTGTCGGATTGGCTTTAAGGGTGACTACGACCAAAGTCGGGAACGTGACTGCCTGCTAGACCCCAAAAAAATCGCAGCGGCTATGTGATATTTGAATTTTTTTACGTCATTAACATAAGTAAAAAATTTTGACAGCTATCCGGTTAACTTATCCACTGGTAACCTAATCCACCATCTAACATCCACCAATATAACATCCTTATCACAAATCCACTATCCTTATCACTAATCCACTATCTTTATCACAAATCCAATATCCTTATCACTATTTTTTTTTCACAAAACCACTCTCCTTATCATAAATCCAATATCATTATCACTATTTTTTATCACTAATCCAATGTCCTTATCACCAGCCCTCTACATCACCCACGACCACACTACGACTCACGAGACCACCGCTGCTTCCGAAATCGAAAACACTCATGACCCACACCCGGGGGTTTGGGGGTGTCCCCCAGCGACGCTCGGAGAGCTAGTCTCTATATATAAAGCATGAACACGTGTGGCGCCGCCTATGCGTTAAATCCGAACTGCTTAGTGGAGAATGGAGGGAAATCGCGTTAT